TGCAGAGGAATTCTGGGAGTTGAAGTCCACGAGTCTTCAAGCGGCCAAGGCTGGAGATCCCCAATTTAGACAAGTGTCCCTCAAGAGGCTATCTGTGAAAGCTTAACTACAACACCCCCCGTCCCCAGCACCTCTGCCGTCCCATCCGGGAATGAGGGACAGGTGGATGGAAGGCAGGGAATTCTGGGAGTTGAAGTCCAGACATTGTTGACATTACCGGGGAACCTTGCAGCATCTTCTCTGATCAGCCTGTTTCCCTTCAAGGATGCCCGGTCACCCCAAGCGAAATCCTAGCCTGGTGTGAAAGTAACAAATGCCAGGACCTCCAAGTGTTGCGGAGATTGATAGAAGACGCCTTTCCGGAGATCTCTTCTATAGGTGAGTGAAGTGTACGGGAACCGTACGGGCGAACAATCCCGGGGCTGTCCTTCGGTAGCAGTGGTTGCTGCTGCCCCAATTCCGTCTTTTCCGATTTACCGTCCTCTAAACTACAACTCCCATCATCTCCGCCGGGGGGCGGCAAGAGACTTCGGAGTCCTGCAGGTGTGGAAGATGTTTGCGGTCAAGCCAGAACGCCCTGGTGGCAGGTTTGCCTGCTTTGGGGAATGCTCTTTTAATTGGGAATTAATTCCTTCTCCCCGGTGGGAAAATTTAATTAAACACCCAAAGAGGTTAATCATCCCGCCTCTCCCCTTCTCTTAAAACATATCCTTCTCAGCTCCTGATGATCCCTCCATGGACATTTCCATCATTGTTTAAGAAATGATTATCATTTGTGTTGACCTTTTTTGACCGTGTTTTTTCTTCCTCGTTCTTAACCTATGGCACTATGATCTCCAGGTGGTCACGTCTCCCTGAATGACATACTGTCGGTCATGCTTTGCTTCTTATATCATAATCAGCTAGAGTCGGCTGGGGGCTTTTACCAAGACTGGACACAAGACTCCTCTTTTCCTCTGGTCACAATGATACGTTCCCTTTTTCCTCCAGAAAAAATGGAGACAGACAGCCCTCTTGACGACACCTCTAGTGAATTGGACACCTCCTTTAGCCAAGTCCAGGGGCCTCCTGGGCAGTCTTGCGTATTGGCAATGGAGCAAGGGAGCGTGCCCGATTCTGGCGGAAACCTATGTACAGAAACAATGGAGCAGGCTTTAAGACACGCGAGGCTAGGGAACATATTAAGCCTATGCTACGTGTGGCTTGAGCTTCTGCCTATGCCCTTGGTGCCTGTTGTGGTGCCAGAAAAGTCTGCCAAGCTGCAGTCTCACTGGATGACGACCCTGCCCCAGCGTGATTTTGCCACGGACGCAGAACACCCTGCCCAGAAAAAAATGCTATTTGCAGGTGCCACTTGTGATGAGAGCCCCTCAGGCTCGCGTGGGCAAGCTGTGGCCCCAGCTCCGGCACCGAGCACGAATCCATCCTCTCCCCCGGAAGTCCCGCCCGAGAAGAAAAAACTCTACTTTTGTGGTTGGTGCAAACAACCATTCAAACTGAAGATTAATTTGGAAGTGCACTATAGATATTGTCGTCAGAAGCAAAGGCGGCCGCTCAGTCCTGCCTTGAAAGATAAAGCGGCTTCCGGCAGGCAGGATGCAAGCGGGTCAAGCCGCACTGGGGACTCGGCGGGTTCTGCCCAACACCCGTCGTCCGATGGTGGCAAGAGATCCTCCGTGCATTCCAGACTAGGCCAAGGAGTGGTAAAAAACAGAGTATTTTTTGGTGCCGGCAGGGGTACCAGCAAGCGTTACTGCAGTTTGATGGTGACAGTCTCTGCAATGAAGAAGTTGAACCAGTGTTCGGGATGCGGGGAAAAGTTTGTGTACAAGTGGCAGCTCATGGCTCATGTGCAAGGTTGCCAGAAAGACGGGGTCCCAAAGCCCCAGGACTTGTCCACAAAGGAGCTCCCAAAGCCCCAGGACTTGTCCACAAAGGGGCTCCCCAGCAGGGTCGGAACACAAGAGCCTTTCGACGACGACCTGGCTGAGCGTCCGAGCACTTCTAAAGACACGACGGTGTACCCCTACAACATATGCGGCAAGATTTTAAACAAGGTATCCACCCCACAAGAATCCCACGAAGAATACAACTATAAGTGCCTCAAGTGTGGGAAGCTCTTCCACTTCCAGAGCGCAGCAAAAAGGCACCAAAAACAGCACAAGAAAAACAGAAGCATCATCTGTGCAATATGCGGAAAAATATTTGGTAGCGATGAATGTTTTTGCACGATAGAAAGAATCAATGTCACTCCCGATTTGGAGGAAGAGAAATAAGCTGGGCAGGAGCCCAAGGTGTGACTTTCCAAAGACCGGATTTTATTTTATTTTTGTTGCAGTATTTCTAAACCGGGGTGTGTGTGTGTGTGTTGAAAACAGGACTCCAGTGAGGACTGGTACGAGTTCAGTGATACAGCAATGGGGGATTCGAAAATTGGTTCTTTGCTCAGCTGGAGCACCAAGCAAAATATGTTTGTTCCAGAGGTTGTGAGAAATCCCTTTCTTTGCCAGCACGCTCTGGGAAACCTGTGTTAATTTTGTAAACACAGTTGTACACCAGGGCGGTTGGTTGTGCGCCAGCCCTCTTTTGTGCAGGGGGAATACGTTGCCTTTTACTTCCTTCTCACTTGCACTCCGGATCCCCAAGCAGCTTCCTATGTTCTGCCTGCGGGCACCGCCTTGGGGATGGGGAACAGTCACAACTCCCACCAGCAATTTTATTTTGTGCCTTAGTTGGATTTTTACAAATTCTGCAAAAAAATCTAGCATGATAATAGAGAACGGATCTATTTCACAAATGTCTTGAGATAGTCTTTCTCCACCTGGGCAGTTGGAAGATGGGTGGGCTTCAATTCCCAGAATTCCCCCTGCCAGCAATGGATTCTGGGAGTTGAAGTCCCACCCGTCTTCTAGCTGTCCAGGTGGAGAAACCTTGCTCTTTAAGAAATCCAAAATTAAGAGGGGCCCAAAGGTGTTTGGGACCCAACTCTAGCACTCGTGGACAACTTAAACTTTATTATTATTATTATTATTATTTACTTCAGCCCAGTTGAATTCTCCTCCTATCCCCTCCACAAAGCCTGTAGTTTTTGTGGCTAATTTCAACTGATTCCGACACTACAATGCGTAAAAAAAGACATGTTTATGGCTGACTTCAAAATAATGTTTTGATCTTGGATGAATTGCAAGCATAAAAGAATTATTTGTGGATCCACGGTTGTGGATGAATTTAAAATGTACTATGATCATCAATAAAAGTATTGATGGAAGCCCTTTCTGTGTGTATGGATTCCAAATTCTAGCAGTATTATTACAAGAGTCCTCGACTTACAACTGAGGCCAAAATTTTTGTTGCTAAGCGAGACGGTTGAGTTTTGCCCCATTTTGTGAACTTTTGTTCAAAGTTGTTAAATGAATCTGGCTTGCCCAGAGTTTGCTGGTCAGAAAGTCACAAAAGGGGATCATGCGACCCCAGGATTCTGCAACTGTCATAAATATGAACTAGTTGCCAAACGTCCAAATTTTAAACTCTCACTAAACGAATGGTTGTATGTCAAGGACTACCTGTATTCGCTGGCCCCATGACTTTCCTTAAATAAATTATTTTTCAACCACAAATGATAGAAATGTCCTAGAATCCTGGAGGCCTTGAGATCATCTAGTCTGACCCCGCCCAACTCAGAAAGCAAGCATTTTTTTTGAGTTGATAGGCTTTGATAACTAGATTTCACTATGTGATGGGTAACTAGAGAAATGGCATTCATATTTTTCATTTTAGGTGCCATCAGTCTTTGACTTATGACCATTCATTTAGTGACCGTTCAGCTACAGCAGCACTGAAAAAAAGTGACTTTCTCACGTACATACCCGTGGTCACATGATTAAAATTTGTTATTAAGTGATCCGTTTTTGATTTTATCTTTTTTCTGCCATGGTGGTTAACTGAATTGCATGGCATTAAGCAAATCCACATTTCCCCCACTGACCGCTTTCAGGAAGGCAGCTAAGAAGGTCAAAAAATTGAGCTCACGCAACCCCAGGAAGCTGCCCCCGTCATAAATACAGGCTATTTGTCAAGCTCCTGAATTCTGGTCACGTGATTGGGTGTGTGTGTGTGGATGATACAACAGTCATAAGTGTGAGGACTGGTTGTAAGCCAGTGTTTTTTTCCAATGGAGAAAACAAGTTCACTAAGCGAATATTTATGAGGGGAGGACTGACCATCTGCAGTGCCAAATATTTCGAGCTTGGCCACTTTTTAAGACCTGTGGCCTTCAACTCATGAACAAAACTCCACACAGGAAGATTCTGTTGGTGCTTTTCCTTCTAAAAAAAAGTTTATGGATACACACACACACACACACACACATGATTTATGGATATATACACATTACTTCATGAAATGAATGTCGAGAAACAAATGGCCATTAAGAACTGATCTGCAGTGGAGAAAGAACGGAACAGCAGATCCGTTCGGAGGGACGCCTTTTGCCTCAACACGCCTATCCATGCAGTGATGGGTTTCAAAAAAAATTCCTACCGGTTTAGGGAACTCACTTCTGCGCATACCAATCATGTGCAGTGCTCAAACACTGCCCTCTATCAACGCTGGTGAGCTGTGCAGACGCGCCTAATTGCGCGCGCCAAATGCATGTATCATGTGCGCGCGCAGGTCGACCGCTCTCTTATCAAGAACGGTGAGCTGTGCTGTTTTTTTACCTCAGCTGAGGCGCAGCAATCTACTCTGCCACACAAGTCAGCTGAGCTAATAAACAATGAAATATAGGAGGTAAGAGTGGGGGCGAATGGGCTGGCCCCGTCAAAATTTTCCCTACCTGTCCACAAGGACCGGTCAGAACCCGCTGAATACTACCTCTATCCAATTGTGCCCACCTATGCCATCTCTTCCTCAGTTTTATTTGACCGGGGGATGTTCATGATGTCTTCACAGACTCCCGGAAGACAAACTCCATCCCACACTTGGCATTTTACCAGATGTGCAAAATATGTTACACTTCGGCCATCTTTGAAATCGGCATACTTTTGGGATACAACTGACCTTGTTCTGTCATGATATAGTCTTCGACTTACGACCACAATTGTGCCCAAATTTCCACAGCCACGCAAGAATGTTAAGTGTGCTTGGCCCCGTTTTGCGACCTTTCTTGCTGCTACTGTTAAATGAATTGCTGCAGTTGCATGGCTGTAAAGCAGATCTGGTTTCCCTATTGATTTGGCTTGTCGGAACGTCGCAAAAGGGGACCACGTGGCCCAGGGACACTGCAACTGTCATAAGTCCATGCCAGTTGCCAAGCATCTTGCATTTGATTACATGACAGGGAGGCTGCAACGGCCGTGAGGGTGGAGAATGGTCGTCGTGATTTGGAACAGTCAGTAAAGGAAGTGGTTATAAGTCGAGGACTTCCTGTACACAGTGCATATTCACTTGCATGCAGGTCATACATTGATCACTATGCTTATTAATTCATCCCACGTTATCAAAAAAGCTCAAGATATTTGCAACATGGGTTCCGATGTTAAAGACTTTTGTGGGAAAATGCACTCCAATGCCTTTCACGCTCGCTGCATATCCTGGGTGTTTGGGGCGCATGGCATGTCCACATGTCCTTCCACATGAGATGTCTGTTAGTCCTGGGCTTGGCAACCTGCATCCCGCCTATCTGCTGCTCACCAACAACCTTTTGTGACGAGATGTGGACCCTCGGGGACGCCCCCTGCCCCGCCGGGGGATACCCTGGGGACTTCTGAGCCCGGCACCCCTCTGTCCCCGCCCGCCATTCAGCAAAGGCGTTCCCGTGAAGCAAGATTCAGTTTTGCCAGGGTAGAACAGTGGGGCATGTAGAGACAATGACTTGGGAAGTGACACCTCGGGTTTCGGAGGCAGGCATGGCGCGGTGAGCGCAGTGCCGCTTTGCGAAGCACACTCCTGGTGAGAAGTTGCCCGTTCCTGCCGCAAACACCGCAGCTTGTCGCGGATCTCGGTGAGGACAGCCAGCAGCTGCAGCTGGAGGTCCCTGTCTCTAGCCCGCTCCTCCCGTTGCTGGGCTCGTTCTTCCTGCCACACAGCTAACTCGTGGTGGTAGAGCTGATCCCACTGGTCTTCCATCTCCATTAAGCGATGGAGGGTGGTCTTGCAAGGTCCTCGGTAGCTCTCCCATGCGCGGAAGGCCCCGATTCCCCGTGGCAAGGAGTGCGAAGGGGCTACTGCGTCTTTGCAAGGTGATACAGGAGGCAGGGACTCCTCCGTTAGAGTCCCTGCACCAAGCGGAGATATGGACGGCGGCAGCTGCTGATCCTCATACGACTGTTCCCACTCCGGACCCATCAGTCCCCGTGGGAAGGAGCCTAGATCAGTATTGGGGGGCTCCGATCCTTCCTCCTCTGTCTGGGGTCCCAGGACTGGAAGGTCAGCACGCCCACTGTGACCCCACTCAGAGTGACCACCCACCGGAGTAAACATGTCCTCTGGCTCGGATGCAGGCGATCTCCTCGAACCGCAGCGACGGAGGAGCATCGCCTGCCGACTGGAGAACTTCAGGTCTTCCTCGGCTGAGAATGGCAGATGGAGACCCTCCTTCCCATCCGGGCCTTCCGCGTCCTCCTCTTCGGAAGTGTAGGAAACCAGGCAGTCATTTCTCAGTGGGGGGGAGACAGTCGACTTTTCGGGAATCTGGAGCTCTGGACCGGAGTCAGCTGGGGGAGAGAAGGAAACAAGGTTGCCAGGCGACGGTGAGTTCTAGTCCCACCTTAAGTATGAAAACTAGCCCGATGACTTTGGGCCAATCACTCTACCTCAGCCAACCCACCTCACAGGGCTGTTGTTGTCATTGGGAAAATCAGAGGAGGAGGAAGTTGTGTTGGATTTGTTCACCCCCCGCCCCACCCGGAGTTCTTTGTCAAAATAATAAAGGTGTTACACGAATAAGTAAATTAAACCTCTTTTCTTTGGTCTCACGCTATGATCGCTACACAAACGGTTGCAAGTCAAGGACTGCCTGTAAGTATGTCATCATCATCCTCGCTTTAATGGATGCCTCTGTGCCAGACATAGTGGGGAGGTGGATGCCTAGAGAGGCAGACTTGATCTGCACCAACCCACCATTCGCATGGCCCAGTTCCCTTCTCTCTGCCCCAGCTGGACTGCCAAGCCACAAAGGCTGGGCACCACTGGACTAGACGAACTCTGAGGTCCCCTTCAAACACTACGATCCTAGAACAGCAGCCTCGCTTCGCCGGTGGACAGTCTAGGCAGCGTCCAGTTGCCTTGGAGGACTTACCAGAGCTGCTCTCCTCTTCCCCTCTGCTGTAGTCTCCAATTACTGACGGGTCTGGACTCTGGACACCCAGGCGAGGCCCAACGAACTCCTCCATTTCTGGCAGAGTGGACGGCTGCCCGTTGGTGTTGATGTAAATATTGGGGTGGCTGGTTGCATCCTGCATGGGCCCAAACCTCAGTTTGGAGGTTCCCGGGAAGTAAATCTCTGCAAAATAAGATCACTCGGTGTTTGTGATTTTCGGGGAATCCACCGTCCGCCACACCCCCCATCTGCAAACCGTTGTTGTTTTGCAACAACCACAATATTACTTTTGTCTTGCAAACTTCTAATCTACCTACAATCTGAGCATCTTGCAGTGCAGGGAATCCTCCACTTACGACTGTCATCGGGAGCAGAATTTCCATGGTTAAGCAAGGCGGTCACTGGGGGAGTCACACCCGAACGTGACAACTTTTTCTATGTCTACAGTTGTGAAGCGGTTCGCTGCAGTTGTTAAAGTGAATCGTGTGGTTGCTAAGTGAATCCGGCTTCCTCTATTGGAGTGTGCTGGGCGGAAGCTAGGTGGCATGGTTGCAAACGGGGATCATGTGACTCCAGGATGATGCAACAGGGGGCATGTCCATCAATATTATGACCATTCGTTTAGCAACAGTTTGAAGTTACAAGTGACTTATGACCGGTTTCCACTCTATATATCTATCCATCCATCCACGCACCTGCCGCTAATCTATACCTGTCTATCACCTATTGCTAATCTACATAATATCCATCTATCTATCCATTTATTGCTAATCTATAATCTATGTCTATCATCTATCTATATCTATTGATAATCTGTATAGTATCTATCCTCTGTCTGATATTATCTATCTTTATCATGTATCTGTCTGATATTATCTATCTATATCTATCTATATCTACCTACCTACCTACTTACGTGTCTATCTCTATCCTTTATCTGATATTATCTATCCCTATCTATCTTTCTATCTATCCATCCATCTAGTATCTGTCTGATATTATCTATATCTGTATATTATCTATATCTATCTACTTACCTACCTACTTACCTATCTATCATTTATCTGATATCTATCTATCTATCTATCTATCTATCTATCTATCATCTGTCTGATATTATCTATATATATCTACCTGTATATTATCTATATCTACCTACCTACCTACTTACCTATCTATCATTTATCTGATTATCTATCTATCTATCTATCTATCTATCTATCTATCTATCATCTGTCTGATATTATCTATCTATATCTACCTGTATATTATCTATATCTACCTACCTACCTACTTATCTCTATCCTTTCTCTGATATTCTCTCCCCCCCTCTCTCTTCTCTCTCTCTCTATAATGTATCTGTCTGATCTTATCTATCTATATGTATATCTATCTCTATCCTCTATCAAAGGGGTGGCCAAACTACGGCCCGGGGGCCACATCCGGCCTGCTGGTCTTTTTAATCCGGCCCGCCGAAGATTGGTACAGAATTCAGGTTTGATGTGAATGATTGAATGATTGAATTCATTTGATATTGACTTGTAATGACACGCATTTCGACACCAGGTGGCGGCCAGTCTGTCAAATTTTAAAAGTCAGTGAGGCCCCCCAGCCAAAAAGTTTGCCCGTAATATCAGACAGATACAAAAAGTTTTGTATCTGTCTGATATTATCTATCTATATCTACCTACCTACCTACTTACCTATCTATCCTTTATCTGTCTGATATTATCTCTATCTATCTATCTATCTATCTATCTATCTATCTATCTATCTATCTATCATCTCTCTCTCTCTCTCTCTATCATCAATTCATCCATCCATCCATCCATAATCATCTAGTGTTATTCACGTTTATGACCGTTGCAGCATCCCCAGAGTCACGTGATCAAGATTCAGATGCTTGGCAACGGACTCACATATATGACGACGGGTGCCGTGTCTCCGGGGTGGTGGGTCACGCGATCCCCTCTTGGGACCTTCTGACAGGCGAAGTCAATGTGTGTGTGGGGTGTGGGGGTGGGGGAAGCACCAGATTCATGAACGACCATTAAGCTAACTGAATAACTGCAGGGATTCACTTAACAACGGTGGCAAGAAAAGTCCTCAAAGGGGGGAAAACTCAACCGTCTCACTTAGCAACAGAAACATTGGGCTCAATTGTGGTCGTAAGTCAAGGACAACCGGTGTGCTTATCCCTCTTTCATTCTTCTCTTTTTTTTTTATCACTGCTGCCTGACCCAACTAAAATTAAGAAAATGACATTTCCTCCCCTCCTTTTTAATAGAAACTGAAATAAAAGGACTCGCAATGTTTCCAAAGACTTAACAGTGGGTTACAGTGGTTTTACCCACCGGGCCCAGCAATTCCCCCTTCATTAAATGTGCCTTGGATGGTCATCCCTCGGGGTGAGGTGGCGGGGTGGACTAGATGATCTCAAAGGCACTCTTTCCATACTAGGATTCTCACAGCTGTTTGCCAGGGGGTACGACTGGTTCAGAATGCAGAAGAGCTTCTTTGCCCAAGGATGGTCACCGGACAGCGAGGCTGAGTTTAGGAATTGTGCTGAGGAAGGGGTTTGACTAAATGATCTTAAGGGTCCCTTCAAAGTCGGGATTCTGAGTCCTTAGCTATCTGGAACCTAGTTTCCAACTTTAGAAGCTTGGAGAGGCATGGATTTCAGCTCCCAGAATCCCCCAACCAGCCTGCTTTAAGAGGGGAGGACTCCAACTCCCAGAATCCCCCAGCCCAGATGCTGACTGAGAATTTTGGGAGACCCTTCCGATTGTCCCGCAGCCACCCGGAAATGCCCCGCCCTCTATTCTTACAGTCCCTCTGTCCAAATTTTCCCCCGCTCACCGGGATCCAGGACGATCTCTGGTTCCGAATCATGGGTGGGCTGAAAGAATGTAGAAGCCACCACCTTCTCCAGGGGGGTCAACCGTGGTTTGCAGGGGGTTCTGGCCCGGTGGACGGCCGGGCTCTTTTGGGCGGTGATCTTCTTGACGTCCAGCCGTAGATCCCTCCATTTGTGCTTCAGGTCATCAATCGAGCGCTCGGTGTAGCCGAGAAAGTTGACACGGCTTTGGATCTGTGTCCAGAGCTGTTTGCGCCGTGCGGGGTGCGCCCGGAAGGTTTCGGAACCGTATAAGGCGCCGAAATGCCGGACTACATTCCACACCAGGGTTTCCATCTCATCGTTGGAGAAGTTGGCTTTCCGCTTGCGTCCAGGAATGGAGGTCAGGGATGCCACGGACGACGTGGACGGGGAAGGGTCAAACTGGACGCTCCATTGCACGTTCGCCGTGGCCGAGGAAAACATGGGAGTCCCAGCTGGAAACAGGGTGAGGAAGACTGTGAAAATTCAGACGGGGGGCGGGGGGAGATGGAGTGAGGGAGTTAGGGCTTGGACTAACTTATGGGTCTGAAGGTCCCTGGGTTTTTTTCTGACTTGTGGACGATTAAAGTTGTGGCCCAAGGACGTCTAGCAAAATTTGGCGGAGAAAGGAAAAATAATTGAAAGAATCACAAACTTTCAAAAGGATTTTGTCTGCATTGCAAACCCTCATTTAGTGACCGAAGTTACAATGGTTCTGAAAAAAAGCAGCTTAGCGGTTTTCGCATGGACGCCCCCAGGGTCACATGATCCAAATTCAGATGCCTGGCATTTACTTAACGACGGTTGCAGTGTCCCGGGGTCATGGGAACCTCTTTTGTGGCCTTCCAGCAAATAAGGGATTCGCTTAATGACCTCACAAGCCACTTAACAGCTGCTATAATTTGCTTAACAAAGGTTGTAAAAAAAGGTTGTAAAATGGGGCAAAACTCACATAACAACTACTTTGCATTTCAGGCTGAATTGTGGTCGTATGTAGAGGATTACTTATACATCACTTAGGGATGGAAGCTCCTGTCCAATTGTGGTCATAAGTAGAAGACTACCTGTAACTGTTAAATAAAAATTCACCTGGGGAACCCTAGGAAAACAAAACAAAACCCTGCTTTTAAAATGGTTCTTTTAGGGTCTAAGAATTACAGCTCCAAGGAAAAGGGTTAAGGCTTGAGGAACTAATGAGCAGGGGGTCAGCCTAGATGACCTCTAGTGTACCTTCTAAAGAAAATTATCCTAATTGATGAGATCTTGAGAACGGCAGTCTGGCAGTTAACAATCTCTGTTAGGGGGTGCTCACCTCGGGCACTGGGGGGTGTATTAAGCCTCACCTTCTAAGGCTTATCAACCGATGTACAGTTACTCCTCGACTTGCAACCACAGTATTCCTTTAGTGACCGTTCAAAGTTACAACAGCGCTGAAAAAGAAATGACTCCAAACCGGTTCTTGCACTTACGATGGTTGCAGCATCCTGGGGTCACATAATTGCCCTTTGAAGCCTGATTCATTTAACGACCACATGATTCACTTAACAACCATGGCAGAAAGTCATCAAATTGGGTGCTATGACTGGCTTAATGATCGCCTTGCTTAGCAAATAAAGTTGTTTGCTGTTAGGACAGTGTTGGTTACCCATCTTGGAGATGTGTGGACTTCTACTCCCAGAATCCTCCCCCAACCAGGGGGATTCTGGGAGTTGTAGTCCACACATCCCCCAAGCTTCCTAGGGTTGAAAAAAAGAAAGCATTGTATTAGGAATCAAATTTTTTGACTCTTTTTTTTTTCTCCCAAAATCATGAAACGATTTTAATTGTTTGACTTCTCATTGTAAATTCTAGATTTCATGCCTCGAAGCTTTAAAGTATAGATAAATATAAAATTGTTTTCTTAAGTTTTCGCGGGTACTTACATGTATGGCATTCAGCTTTGTTCGGGTATTTTCCCACGTCATTATAGTTGTGCTTTTAAAGTTGTAGCAACGTTTTGGCAGAATCGCATCTGCCATCATCAGGCTTCTGTATTGGGAACCCACTATACAACTATAACGAGGTGGGAAAATACCCGAACAAAGGTGAATACGATACAAATATAAAATTATACATATAAAGTATTCCAAATTTAATCCAAGGTTTATTTCAAGTGTTTTCCCCAACCCATTGGGGTCTTTATGCAAGGCTAACGATTCAAGGAATAAAGGATGAGAAATTTATTCGAAGCGAACCGGAAAGGTGTATTTCCACGCGAATCCCTAGTGTTGGGGTCCCAGGACCTTTCCCCACGACCCCATTTTCTTCCTCCATTTCACACGACCCGAAAAACCATCCCCGGCCTGATTCCCAACACCAAAGGGAAGAAAGTCTCCTCCCACACGCTTGCGCGGTACTGACCCGTATCCCGGGCGCATGACTGCGGATTGCACGTGTGAACTCGCCGGATCCGTTTCCGGCCTGACCTCCCCGCGGGAATACAGTGATCGGGTTTAGGCTCGAGCAATGCGATAATTTTCCTGCGTTGCCCTGTTTGCAAAACGGCGCGAGGGAAGATGGGGTGCCTTGCACCCCAAATCAAGAGTGGGGTGAATTAGGGCGCCCCCCGAAGTTAGTTGCGGGGTGCGTTGCAGTCCCCGCTCCATCTTCCACTTCGGGTCCCAAAGCCCCCTCCAAGGACAAAGGCCCCTCGCCGTGTAAGCGGAGGAAGGGCCGGTTGCAAATGCGCCCCCCGATCTCCGGGGCAACGACGGCGGCGCCCCCAGCCCGGGCAGCGCGCCCTTCCGTGCAAAACGCGGGGATGGTTGCAAAGGATCCGTCTGGTGAAGGGGAGCCACCTCCGCCCCCACCCTCCAAAGCGGGTGGGGGGCGCGGAGGGGCTGTCTCGCCCTTCCGGCCAGAAGAGGACCTGGCGCCCGCGGGCGCCTTACCTGCTGAGGCTGTGCCGGTGGTCCCGATCTGACTGGCGCGATCGCAACGGGGTCTGAATGAGTGTGGGCCCCGCCCGCCGAGGAAGAGGAGGCCTCAACCGGCTACCCGCCCCCCGGCCCTGCCTGCTGGAGCCCGCGGGGTGGTGGTGCTGCTGCGCGCCTGGGTTGGGGAGCTGCCTGGCTGGGTTTTTGCAAGAGCCGCCCCCCTCCGTCCTCCCCAGATCTTTGCATCCGGGGGGCGGGGCTGCAAAAAGGGTCCCCGCCCTCAGTTTCTCTGGTCCAGAGTGGGGGGCTGGGTCCGAAGTGGGGGTGGGGGCGCTCCGCGGCCGGAAAGAAGAAGGAAGAAGGGAAAAGGTGATGAGGGAGGAGAGAAGGAGAAAAGAGACGGAGGAAGGAAGAGAGAAGAACGAAGAAGAGAAAGAGAAGAAGGAAGGGAGAAGGAAAAAGAAAGAAAGGAAGAGGAGAAAGGAAAGGAAAGAAGAAAAGTAGAAAAGAGGAAAGGTGAAAAAGGAAGAAGAAGAAAGGGTACGAAAAGAAAGAAGGGAGAAAAAAACGAGAAAGAAAACTGAAAAGAGAAGAGAAAGGAAAGGAAAGATGGAAAGGGAAGAGAAGAGGAGGGGAGAAAAAGAAAGAAAGGAGGAGGGAAAGAAAAGAGGAAGGAAAATCAAAGGGGGAAGAAGGAAGAAGAGGAAACAAAAGAAGGAAACACGAGAAAAGAAGAGCAAAATGCTTTCATTTCATTTTATTTGGCTGTATGCATCCCCTCTTTTCTTTGGGGAGGCTCAATGTGTTTCTTAGCAAAGAAACCTTTAAAAAAATCCAGTGCCCCCCCTTAAAACCTGAACTACTGAAGTGCTTGTTTGAGAAAAACAGCCTAGGAAATCTTAAAAAGTGGATTCAGAGCCTTTGCACAAGTTTATCTTTCTAAAATAGTGGTGATTTTCCATGGAAGCGCAGCATTAATAAAAGGGTTTAAATTAAAAAAAATTTTAAAGTCAGGTGAAACTGAGAAAAAAATAAAATTGCAAGAATCTGGAAAGAGGTTGACTGTCCTTGAAATTGTCTGTTCTGAAAGAAGTGGATTGTTTCAATTTCACTATCGGGGCCAGATTAATAAATCCAGTAATCTCTTTTGGGGCTACAGGCAGAGAGTTTAATAATACAACCATCGGTTCTTGTCTTTTGCCTGAAGAAGGGAGGTTTAAAATTTGGGGGAAGTGGATTTTATTCCTGACTTCTTAGAATGGTGCTTCGCAATCTTGTACCTTTTAATCTAGAGGGGTGGACTTCAATTCCCAGAATTCCCCAGCCAGCATGAGGCGGGGGGGAAAAAAAATACCCAAACCCCATCCGGCCCTCGTTTTAACTGGCTTTGGTTGCGAGCCGGAGGCGTTTCGAAACGGATATTCCCGTTTCAAAGATGGTCCCCGCTACCAGATCAGCAAAAGACCAGCTTTGCAGGAAGCCGAAAAGGTAGGCGCCAAGAGTTTCTTAAAGACGATGCGGCCATTTTTAATAAGGGCAAGTACGATCTACGGTGTGGGGGTTCTTTCCCCCTTGCAAAGGATGGTTATTGGCGAGGTCTTTCCGCCTCTTTATTTTCTCACAACCGTTTTGCAGGCTGGAATGCGGTTGCTAGCACTAACAGAAAGCCTGCAAAAACGCGGGAGCGTGCAAAATATAAGGCCTCCTGCCCGGGGTGGGGGAGGGTTGGACTAGAAGACCTCTAAGATCTCCTCCAGCCCTACGATTATATTCCTATTTATATTCATTTTTTTTTAAAGGAATTGTAGTCTAGAAAGTTTCTGCCCGAGGAGGAACCAGATCAGCTGGAGAAGTTGAAGTGCACTATCCTGGCAGGGGGATTCTGGGAGATGAGGTGCAGGCATGTCGGTTAGGAGTTGAACTTCACACATGCTAGATGGGGAATTCTGGGAGTCGAGGGCTATGAGTGCTGGATATAGGATTTGGAAAGCTGAAATCTAATGCATATTTGTCCAGGGAATTCTGGGAGTTGGTCTTAAAGTCGCCAAGATCGAAAGACACTGATCCGACCCTGAAACGAGAGCCAGTCTTTTAACAACAGGGACTAGCATTTTAAGAAAGTCGGTTTGCCTTTTTCCTTTCAAAGCCTATAAATCAGGTATGTTCCTTGATAAACTTGGCTAAAAGGCCTATATTTAAGCTTATACCTTTTTAAGAAAACGCGCTAGAGTTGTCGGAAAAGTAGCTGCACCTGTTCTTTACCCTTATGGTCTCTGACACGCGTCTCTCTTCCGCCAACTTCTATCAACTTTTCCGACCCAGTCAGAGTAATTACGCAGAGCTGCCTCGAGAGGGCAGCAGACACTCGAGGACCGCCTGTCCGTCCGTCCCCCTCGTCCCCCCCCCCGTTCAACTCGGAGCTACAAAATCTCTTTTCTATCAAAATAACATTCCGTAATCCCCGTTTATTCCCCAGGAAGACAGGCTGTTGATTTTATGATCTGTTTAGCTGGGTGATTGTTTTGCAATATTATATTAATTTTGGTTTTTAAGAAGAAGGTTTTCTTTAGAAGTTTTTAACTCTCTTGTCTGAGATGGTATCGATTCTCGCGCCTGAGCAGGAGGTTAGACTAAATAATTGGTTGGAAGAAAACAACTGTTGAATTGCTTTATGTCTGAATCTAGAACTGCTGAAAAATTACCAGGTTCCTAAGCAGCCATTCAGTAGCATCCATAAGTTCTCATCCATGGCCTTTCCCAATTTCCTGCAGTCAATTGTTAGATTGATGCTTCTGTCTTCTGACTCGTTTCTTCTGTCATCTCCTGTCTTCTACCTTTTGTCTTATTCTTTTTTTCTCTTCTGACTTTTTCTGCCCTCTCCCTTCTGCCTTTTCTCTTCTCTCCCCTCTTCTTTCTTCTCTCCTCCCCCTTCTGCCTTCTCTTCTTCCCTCATACTTTTGTTGATTCCGAGTCACAACTTTGGTAGACTTTTTTTCCATGGGTTTCGTTCACCTGAATGCATTTCTACAGCCGCCCGGAACAGCAATTCTTGGCATCTAACCAAGACAAACGTAGTAAAATTACTAATCAGCATAATGATAAACATGATTGCAGCTGAGGATAAAACTCACAATAGTCCAGTGACACCCCTGTGTCATTAGATGTTTCCATAAACCTTTATTATGGTTATTAATAACTCCAGGCAGCAAACGTGTCTTATGCATATCTTATCCTTTCCCTATTTTTTCCCCACAACAACCCTGTGAGGTAGGTTGGGCTGGGGAAGAGGGCGTGGTCTAGTCTGCTGGACTAGAACTCACCGTTTGTCAGGGCTGCTTCCAATCCAATCCCTGGGGGGGACCGCTTGGCTCCCTTAGAGAAAAGGAACTTTTCACACACACACACACACACACACACACACACCCTCTTGTAGCTAGGAGGGCAAGGAGAGGCCAGGAAATGTTTTGAGAAAGCCCTGGATTCAAGCCCATGGTCCGTGGTGGTGGCATACCAAAGCTAGAAGAAGCGACCTCGGGGAGATAAGCAAAGCCCAGACTGGTTGTTGCAAAGCTGTGGTGGTCTGGCACTTGAAATGAGACGCAGGGAACCGTCTGAGCAAATGCCAGTCCTGAGCGAACTCAGGCAGAAGTATTTATTGAAGATTCAGAAAACAAATGACCTCGACAAGATAATAGCATACAGGCATAGAAGGTCCCGCTGACGAAAGTCCTTGCTGTATACCTATAATTATCACTAATTTCCCTGTTCCTTCTAAGCCTGCAGATAACAGGATAAGACACTCCTGCGTAAAAGTACTCCTACTCCCACCAGAAATGCCTGTATATCCTTATCTTTATGGCTGTACAAAGGACTTACAGAAAATGATTAATAACATATGTTACCACATTCCCTCCTTTTTTATTTATTCAAAGATAAGGGGTGTTTTAGTGGCATAGTACACAGTTCCTTCGCAACTTGATCTCCTATGCCGAAAAGCTGAGGTACACATTTGTAATAGATTAGGAATACATTGAATAAAACAACATAACATAATAAGTATAATAACAATTATTACAACTAATTGAAGCAATAAACGTAACCATGAGCTGTCAGGAAGCCAATCCCATAGCAAAGCCCAAAGTGACCTATTGAAGCCATCTTTTCCTGCTTCGTGTTTAGCTATGCGGTCTTCCATATCATGAACAGTTTTTGTAATGTTAGGCTCATAATTATGTATAAAAATACAACAATGTGAATGAATTAAGGCACACACTCCTCCTTTGGCAGCTAACATTATGTCTAAAGCATAACGATTTTGTAAAGTAACTTGGCGAATTTCAGACACTTCCTCATTCAACATCTTAATGCTTCTGATAGTATCATTAAACATAGCAACAGTAAAATTATTTAAAATATGAATATCTTTATAGTTCATAGCTATTCCCAAAGGTGGGATTGCTGCCCTAGAAATCTGAGTCCACAAATTACCACCCACAGTCAGGCCAGAATCAACTTCTCGGCGGTTACAAATACGCATCCCAATCGGTAAACCCTCTAATTTATAGATGACAGGAATTACAAATCCTATAGTACACACTCCAGACCAATCCTTTGGCCATTGTTGATAGGCAGTGTCCCCACATAACAACCATAACCCATCCGGAAGAGGAAAGTATTTTAAATGCTTATGATAGGTATTGCCGGAGGCTTGACTTTCCCAACTCCACATTAACCACA